GATTAAATATTTAGTAACTAGAGTTGCACTAAAGGGACAGTGCAAAGCAAAAAAAGACTGCCTGTTGGTCTAGTGGTTAGTGACCCTGACTGCTACGCCAGAGGTCGTGGCTTCTATTCCCACCTAGGACAAATAATTATGTGATAAGCACGGTCATTTTTCTATGTCTGGGTGTACTTTCTCTAGAATATGTTAGTATTTAGAAATTTATAAGTATGTTTATCAGCAGTCTGGTTACCACAGTACCGGCTCTGCCTAGTTTGGGATCAGACAGCCGTGTGTGAAATATTATATTAGTACTTAACAGCAGTTTTCTGCTATATCACTTTGGTTGAGCGGGTTCACTTGAACCAAAGCATAGCTCTTTGAGTGCACCTTTTTCCAGGATCGGTCCTGGGGACCACTTGAAGAGTAACAACGCACGCATAATATGCTTAACATGATATAAAAATTTACCGGCCGGCACGAATGGAGATACCACTGCCCCACGAAAAACCAGTGCAAAGCAATTCCTTCCTTCCGTGAGTGAGGATCATCATCATCAACAGACTTTAGAGGTCCACTGCTGGACATAGGGCTCTCTTTAGAAGGGAGGTTTTCGCCTACTATGCTACATTTGGTTGGTATAGGGTTTGTGTCAAGTTTTCCTTCTCCTGCGTCTAAGACCTGCGTAGTTTGGTCCCTGAGTCAGAATTTGCAACACCCGTGACACTCTCTATTCTTAATCTGTCTGCACACGGAGTATACCTAAGTCCAAACCCCTCCCCCCTCCCCCAGATTTTAGGGGAGGACTTAAAGGGCGGCATCGGCACTTATTACTCGTAAGTTGCATGTGTCTTTGGGCAAAGTAAATCACTTACTATCACCTGTCCAGGGACCCGTCTGCCCCTTTGTTTCTAAACCATTAAAAAACCGGCGAATTGCGAGTTGGACATATTAAAAATACAACTTGCTTGTATAAATTTAAAAAAAAATTGGGAGATTACATTAGGATAAAGTACTGACTCTAATGAAGTTGTCTGTATATCTTTAGTTTTATATTACTGTAATAGTGTATTGTGATCACAGAGATACTTAACTAATTTATTGTGTTGTTACATTTTCTCATTATGTAAGTGAACTGTATTGTTCTTTTTATGACAAATAAATGTCTCTAAACCGAACTAAAATAGTACTAAAATAAACGCCTTTTCTTTATGATTTAATTACAAATGTATAGTTTTCAGATTTTTCCCTGTACTTTTGTGGTAAAAGACGATGTTCCTTGTCAAATTTCATAGTTCGAGCTCAATGGGAAGTTCTCTATTAATTGTGATTCCCTTGAGAGCATCGAAATATGTGTTTTTGAGGCATAAGCGGGCTTATCTTTTTTTCTCGTTAACTTAGGGTTTAATTATTTTACAGCTTCAAGCGACCATAGACCTGAGTATATGGCTTTAATTTCAACCTGATACCTTCACGCATTGCCGAGATAAAGGGTCTTTTTTTAAATATAGAATAGGGGTCAAACGACAAGACGGGTCAGCTGATGGAAAGCGACTACGTTGGACTAGGTTGAAAGTCGTCGCTCCATGGCCGGTAGCGACAGTTGTTTTACCGCGGTCGCAACCTTCTGCGAGGAGGTAATCTCGCAGAAGAAGGCGGCGGAGAAGGCCCGGGAGGACGACCTCCACTCGGACCTGATCCGCCGCCGGCGAACCGGGCGGCGGAGGCGCGCTTACCTGCGCCTCATGCCGCCCTGAGTGTGGCCGCGGGTGAACGGGATGGGTTCTCCCCTCCACCCGCATTAGTTGGCCAGCCGCGAGGGGGCGGCGTCCGCGTGTGCCGGACGTTGCCTAAAGAGAGGGAAAAAAAATTTTTGAGACGGAGCCCGCAACAGGAGCGGGCCGGCGCTGGGAGGGGTCCAGAAGGCGATAACTACCTAGACCCCTCCTAAACTGGAAGCGCAAAGAGGGCACACCGTGTGGTTTTAGGCCGATAACTTGTTCCACAGATTGGTAGTTCGAGGCAAAAAGTGTCTTGAAAAGCGCACAGGGTGGACAGCGCCAATTATCCACGACAGACAGACAACAAAGTGATCCTACAAGGGTTCCGTTTCTTCCTTTTAAGGTAAGAAAACCCTCAAAAATTTAACTATTGGTTCATATAACACCGTTGCTATTATAATATGCATATTGTTTTAGTATAAGCTTTCAAATAACCTTGTATGTATGCTCTTGCTGTGGCTTTGACATATTTCTAAATTATTTGGATTTCTGTATACTCATGCAATTTACTGTTTTTAATAAAACAAGTTGCTAAAATAAAACATCTTTAGAGTTGTTACAATCTAAATTTTTACTGCACGGATGGTGTAGTGGTTTATGCAGTCACCTTGTTGCTTTCTACTGTGCTGAGAGTTGTGGGTTCAATCCCCACATGGGACAACAGTTTGTGTGATCTACAAATAGTCTGGATGTTCTTTGTGTGCGTTTCATGTATGTCTGTAAAGACACAGGATATATTCCTAGTATGTCAGTTGTCTTTTAAAAATAGAGCTGTCTTGACATTGTTGTAGTAGGATCTCAACATTAAAGTTTTCTACTGATCACCATAACATAATATAAATTTATAAGGTTCCTTAATAACATAAGAGTGCACAAAATAACTTGCTGTAATACAATTATTGACTACATGGATGGCATAGTGGCGTGGCTGCTCTTAGTGTTGTGAGTTTGATCCCCACGTGGGATAAAACGTTGTGTGATCCACAAATTGTTGTTTTGAGTCTGGGTGTTCTTTGTGTTCGTTTCATGAATGTTTGTAAAATCCCTTCTGGCAGAGGATATATTCCTAGTGCAGGCGTTATCTAAAAAAACAATTTACGATAGACCATCCATAGACACCTGCAACAGTCAGGATTGTGCTGCAGCCCTAGGGTTAGAGCTTTGAGCTTCACGCTTAACGCTGGTTTTCTGTGATGCTGTGACTCCGGTAGAGACGGTCCTTATATGCAGAGGCATGGCTCTCGCATAGTTTCTAGAGAATTGTAATAAAGCAACTCATATGGGACTTTGTTCATTGATAAATCCTAATTTGATAAGAGATTTTTTCTTCTGTCAATAAATGGCCAACAATAAATCTATTAAGGGCATGTTATGAATTAAAAGGGAAACATTCAAAGATGAAAAAATAACTTGTATGAAGGAGTTTCTTCTTAGAAGATATTAAAAGAGGTTTATGTCCAGCAGTTCAGCGACGTTTTTTACAATACAGGAGGCAAACAAGCGGTCTATTTTGACTGCCTCTGTGATTCAGTGGTAACGTATTCAACTGCTGTGCTGAGGTCTCGGCTTCTATTTCTGGGTAGGACCAAATGTTTGTATTATCTGTAAATATTTGTTTCAGAGTTTGGGTGTTTTATATGTATTATATGTATGTATTTACAAAAAAAAAGTATACAAGTATTCTATCAGTCAATCTAGCTTTCATAATACAAACAAGTTTGCAACTAGATGGCGTTGTGTGCCAGGTGTCCAAAAATATTATTATTATTATTTAATTAACATCTATATTGTTTGCCACCTTATAGGAGGCGCACCTGCAACTCAAGGGTTTTTAGTGCCGTCTTTCCTGAAGAAGGAGAAGGGTTCCTTTAACTTTAGTCACTTACTGAAATGCAATGAAAATATTTAACAATTAATTAAATACTATGTATAAAAAAAATTACTTGCGCCAACGGACTGATTCAGCAGCTCAGAGTCTACACCTCTTCTTATGCTTTTTATGTTGAGCCACTAAGTTTTAGGGTATAATAAGGGATTAAAGGTTCAATACCCAATACTTTATTGCTTCCACAATGTAAATACATAGGTGATAGGAGACCCTGACAGGCGCAGCACAGTTTGTTTGGAAAAGAGGAATTAATATTAAATTATAATAATTATATAAAATATTAATTTTATTCATTTAGAATATATTATCTATCTTCAAAATATTCCCTTTTACTGTAGTAGCTTTTATTTAGTAAAAAGAGTTTTAATTTATTTGTAAAACTGTTATATTTATCTTCTTTGTTTTATGGGTTTGGGTAACTTATTTTTTTATGGACATTATAAATGGGCTGGATGAGTGCATTTGAGTCAGGAGACTGGTACATTAAGTCTATCTATCGTGTCTAAGTATCACTTTGGTTTGAATGTCCTGTCTTTTGCTAGCTGCTCTACCTGTTTTTTTTCTATAGAACTCTGGGTGTTGTCCAACGAATTTACAGGTTTCAAAAATGTAGTTACAGGGCAAGGTTAAAATTTTAAGTTTGACATAGTGAGGTTGGCAACTGTATGTGTCTTCTATGTTTACTAGGATTCTAATAAGATTTTCTGTAAAGTACAAAGTTTAGGTGCATCTGTACTATTACCCCATAGTAGGTTGTATAGAATCATCGCTTTCTAAGTTAGTAACACTAAACAAAGAAAACTATGCTAGGAAAGCTACTGGCATTAGCTAGTATTATATGTTTATTGATGCGGACAGCTTCAAATTCGTCTCCGAAGTCATTGATAAACGCCTCTATCCAGAAATGGAGGTCTTTTTGCCAAAATGATGATGATATAGCGCATTGTATTTACCAATAGGAATTAAAGAACACATGGTGTGTTATATTATTGTTCCTTGAGAATATTGAAGTGAGATTTCAAAGGCTATGTTTTTTCAGAAGTCTATATTAGTTTCAATTTTAATACAGCTTCAACATAATAATAGTTCATTTTAACATTTATCTAGTGTCACAATAAGTTTATCTGTGTATTATTTACAATGTATCAAAGAAAAATACGTGTAAAATCTCACATTTGAGTCGACAATAATTTATATCGGGGTTCTTAGCAATTGAAAGCAAGAATTGAATAATTGAATGAAAATTTAGTTTTATTCATCAAATAATAACAGAAATAAGTTTGTTCTTATAAGAATCCAGTACGTTCGCGAATACTAACAAATAATGGCTAAACACATAGTCTTACCATTTTGCCAAGGGTTTGCAGGCTCGAAGTACTGCGTCACTAGCTCGTCCTCATCAGGAAAACGTACTGATCTCGTCTTTTTCTTCTCATTACCAGCATTGTCAACAGTTTTAAAACAATCTCCACACTCGATGGAACATTTATCGCACTCGGTCGGGCATCCCGCACTCTTATCAGGCTCGACAGACATATCTAGCGAGTAATAATTTAACACATAATACTGTAAACGAACACATTAGCGAATAAAACACATATCACAACATATAAAAAAATAATTCATAAACACATTTGCACAGCACAATACCTATAGAGATCGATAATTAAACATTAGGAACGCGAAAACCACGTTAATTCACCGGCCATTGCGTATTTTTTTCGCGTTACGCTGATTTTTTTATACAATTTTTTATTGTTCGTTCGAATCAAAACATTCCGCACCTTTCATACACCGTTTGCCGCCATATTGGATTGAACGAGACAAAAGGAGAGTTTCCTCTATTATTTGCTAGAGGGGGTGAGAATCAAATGATCGGTGTTGCCACAAGTATAAAAGGAATCTAAATAATACTTTGTTTAGGGACCTCTACCGTCGAATAAATTAACTACCTAAGAAAGTAGTACTGCGTACAACTCAGGTCGTATAGATGTCAAACAATCTATTTTTCAATACAATCTACTTTTTCTTTTTATGGTATACGGGGGCAAACGAGCAGACGGGTCACCTGATGGTAAGCAACTACCGCAGCCCATGGACACCTGCAACTCAAAAGTCACAAGTTATGTGTAGGTATTTTATATTTATTAGATAAACTTGAAACAGTTTAAGACCAATCTTATCAAGTTTATCTCAAGATCTCAGATACTGTACTCGTTTTAACGTATTAAAAGAATCTAGACATATTTTTAAAGAGCAAACGTTGTAGCTTACTAGTGAGTGGGTTAGCATCATCAACAGCCTGTCATAGTCCACTGCTGGATATACGCCTCTCCTTAGAACCTTTCTAAGGAGGGGCATATATCCAGCTTTGAGTAGCTTTGAGGTTAAGGAGGACTGTTATGACTTCAAAAAAGGAGGACGATTGTTTTTTTTTGTTGGCGTTTCATATTTACTTAATGGTGGTAAACGTTCTCATAAATAAATTTCGGGATCGTCTTAACAGAACTTGGCACTCATTTAGATCTCATTGTTATGTGGGTTGTGGGTTCGATCCCCACAAGGGACGACACATTGTGTGATCTACAAATTGTTGTTCTGAGTCTGGGTGTTCTTGGTGTCCGTTTCATGTATGTTTGTAAAAGTCCCCCGCTACACAAGATATATTCTTAATGTGGGAGTTGTCTTTCTCTAATAAACAAAAAAAAAAGAATAAGTTAATTTATTTGCAAAAAATATGGTAGGTACATTTATCGATGTTACATGCAGTGGCGAATTAGCCACGTAGCAAGAGTAGCAAAAGCTACGGGCCCCGCGCACCAACGCTTTCTGCCTGTAAAACAGTATCTACTTATTTCGATCGAAGTGTGTAAATATTTTTTCAAATCAATATAACCACAATTCTTATTACGAAAGAGTTGCATCCAAATGTCCAAATATAATACATTACATTTATTATTTATATTTTAGTACATTTCTAAAAATGAGTCTTGGTTGCACCGGCAATTATGTTTTGTACTGCGATCTGACGCTTCGACGCCCAAGTGGGGCAAATTGCCAGCGTGTTCTGGGCCGAGTCCTCACTGTAATCGCAGTGTTCACAGGCAGGACTCAATTCCCTACTAGCGACTGAGTGCAGAATCAGCCCAGAAATGACCTGTGTGAGTCGGAAGGAAAGGGTCCCGTGATGCCGCTCTGCCCACTCGACGATGACTAGCTGGAGCGCGTCTACAGTGGCAAAGAAAGCATGTGGAGCCTCCAGCCGGGACGACCAGCGAGGAATCTTGGCTCACAATTGGCTTCACGCCAATTTTCGCGTACCTTTTCGGGCGAGGGCCGACTGCCGAATTTATTATGTCAAAACAGGTCAAAACAAAGTATATTAGGGAAAAAAACATTATGCGAAATGAAGGGATCCCCATTCACAGCCGGTTGTATTCTAACAAAGAACTTCCATGTGCTTAATTTGAATAGGATCTAGGGTTGATAAGACTAAATCTTGTACTAGATTATACTCCGTCGAATATTTTAACTCTATAGGGGGCAACGTAAGCCTAAACCTAAGATTAATTCTTTATCTTATGCCTAAACTGCCAAATATTAAAGTGCCGCTGTCAAAACCAAAGGATTTGTGAATCGTAAAAGAAATAGGGATTTCTTTTTGTTGTGCATATATGTACATTTTTCAATTGCAAATAAGGTGGGTGGACCATGGAAGGCCACGCTCCTTTGAAGGCCAACTATTAAAAAGTCGTAGTTATTGACATGTAAAGACATATTCCTTCTACTACACACTACAATCCATCAAACAGAAGGCCACAGACGCGGCTGCGAGTCGCTCGCGCCGTTATTGTGGCAGTGCGATCTCACACTTCATAGACTTCGGTCGTCGACGTTACAATTGTTATTCGCGCGCACAGCAAAACGTAAGTTTTTAGTTAAATAACCTATTGTTTCTTTATTTTTTTTTACTGCGAATTGTCGTGTTAGGATATTTTTATGGAACTTAAGAAAAAAAAAAAGAAATTGCCTCGATTTAAGTAATATATGGAGAAAATATATGGAGTGTTCCTAGGAAAGCCGGTGGTTCCTTATAAGGCCAATCAAAAATTTGACGGTTGGCCTTGCTAGGAAACATGGACCTTACATCTATAAACCATGAACATATGAACACTTATTATGTAGTTATAAATACGTACCGTTAAAGTTAAAACAATGTTTTATATTTATAATATTTTTTTTAAGGGTTTTCTAACTTTTAAACTCAGATTGAATAGACATTTTTTCTCAAAATTATTTTATTTTCAGTATATATTTAAATTTATTTTATGTCTATGAAGAGGTTACGTCTGGAAATAAACTAAACTAATTTACATGAAAAGCAACGAGTATAAAAAATATTTGCTTGTTAAAAGCGGTAAAGTAAGTATGAGATAAGTTAAAAATTGTATATCTAAGATAGTCTGTCTAAAACTATAATTAAAGCAAAAAAAAAATTATATCAATAAGTTGGTAATTGAACAGATGATTAAAATTTATACGTATTATTTCAGATTTCGAGAATGTCACAGTCAAAACCTTGAAAAAGAGGTAGTAAATGGAACGAAGATAGTTTAAGACGAGCCATGGAAGCAGTACAAAATAATGAACTAAATACAAATGCTGCAGCGTTGAAGTTTAATATTCCAAGACGCACCCTTTCGTAAGCGGTAACAGTACTAAAATTATTACGAAGACAACTAGTCTCACAAAACAATTAGAAGAAGATTTATAGCACCGAATCAAACGTTTTATTATTATTATTTTCGTTTTTTAATCTTAAGAACCGTTGATTTTAAATATTCCTGACTACAAGACTGACTATGTGCCATGATAAGTTTGTAATAATTACAGTACGTCTGTAGTGCATGTGTTTTATATCTATTATTTTATTATAATTAATATAAAAAAGTCATAGATTGTTAGTTTGGCCTTCTTAGGAACATTGTGGCCTTACAAAGAACGGAGCCTTAAGAAAGCCATATAAGGTAAAAAAAAAAAAAAAAATTTGATTATAAACGCGTTGACAAGTTATTTTATATCAACAAAATATTTATTACTACTAGTTTTAAATAATTTCCATTAATATATTCTTAGTTATACGATGGTGTTCAAGTAATGTTCATTGTGTTTTTTATAGATAATAAAAATATATTGTGCATTTAATGTTTCGCTTAAATGAAAGAGCTTATTATGTAGTTTTAGTAAAAGCGGATATATTAATTGTTCCAACTCTATTTTTAAGTTGAACGACTGAATTATAATATTGGCCTTGTTTGGAGCCCTGTTCCTTGCAAGGCCATTTGGAAGAGCTTAATAAAACTAAAGTTTAATAAATAGTTATTAAAGCTAGGTAAAAAAAAAGTGATTTGTATGGTACACAATAAACCAAAGTATTCCTTAACAATTTGTTTACTTCATTTATACAGTAAATATACGAATAAAAAGTGTTTATTCTTTAGAGTGGCCTTCCATGATCCACCCACCTTAATTTACATTAAATTACGTATGGAACTTATTCTCTTACGAAGAAGAAAGTAGTTTTTGCTGTTATTTTCATCAACAGCCTTTACTAGTCCACTGCTGGACATAGGCCTCTCCTTAGGAAGGAGGTTTTGGCCTACCATACCACGCTGGCCAGACGGGTTGGTATAGGGTTTGTTTCAAGTTTTCCTTCTCTCTGCAGTGCAGTTGTCCTGCGTAGTTTGCTTCCTTAGTCGCCTCTTACGACACCCACGGGATGAATAGGGGTGGCGACACTCTGTATTCTTAATCCGTCACCACAAGGTTGTTATTTTACCAAATTAAAATTGATTGACATGAAAATATGGTCAGGAAATTAGAATCTATGAAAATAACTATTCTTGGACGTTACTTATTTAACACCCACTTAAAGTATGTTCATTAAATTTGGGGTAGGTCACTCATTTTTCTAGGGGGTCTCAATAAATAAACAAAATTTTGTCTCTATCTTCAATAGTTTGAAAGTTATAATAATAATACGTATATGTTTATTTCTTCTCTCACACAGAAAATGTTATATGAATAAACTCATAACAAAGTTATAGATTAATTTTATATTACAAGAAAATGATAATCTGTGTGACTGGTAACGACGACTGGTTATGGAGGGGTCAAAAGTGGCTCCACTTTAGCTCGTGTAATGTTACACACGGTTGCTGCTCCTCAGATCCCTTGACTTGGCCTGACACGTACCCGCGTGTCTACATTGTGTTATATACTCATCATCATCATCATGTCAGCCGAAAGCCGTTCACTGCAGGACATAGGCCCCTCCAAGAATCGCCACAACAGCCAGTTCTGTGCTGCCCGCATCCAACGGCTTCCCAGCTTGACTTGCTGTTTTTCAGACTTTACATTTATACTATTTTCACTTAATTTTTGTTAGATTTTTCAAGCCAACAGTTTAGCTTGTAAAGTCTCCTCGTCCCTTATCAAGTTAAATTAACAAAAAAAAGTAATATTCATTCGGTAAG